AATCAACAAAAACAAGTTCAAGAAATTACTAAAATTAAACTTTTCACTCACACAAGTTTTAGTTATTAAAAGTCTATCTGAGTTGAAAAAAAAAATCATCCAGTTACTTCCCTTCTATTTAAAAAAAATCAGTTACAACTTACAACAAGCTTGAGAAAAAAGAAAAAAGTTAGAAAACAGGAAATAAATAAAAAACTACAAATTTCTTCTAATAAAGGATGGTTCTCCAAAGTAATTCGCACATAGTTTTGCAGATATTCGTGCAATTCAATCATAAAAAAAAAAATCACCAATCTGAAAAACAGAAACTTTGAATCCACAAAGGTCAGAGATTAAAAGGAAAGGAAAAAAACAAAATAAAAAAAAAAAAGAGTTTTTGAGGTAAACATGGGGATTGAAAATTAATCTCCAGAAAGGAATCAAACACAAAATCGAGAAAAAAAAAACCCAAAAATATAGAAAAAAAAATTTCAAACTTACCTTCAAAGAACAATATGGAGCCGCTACAAAGCGAACTATTCTTTTGGGCTTTTAACTTCAGCAAGGAAAAAAAAAAGAAGCAAAGACAGAAAACAGAGAGGGATTTAAGCGGCCGCCATATTAAGAAAAAAAGCTCTCGGTTTAAGGTGAATAAAAAAAGCTTCGGATTTTTTCTCTTGTTTTGGAGAAAGCAAAGCCCCGAAGGAAAGAAATCAAAGAGACGACTATTATCGTTTTAAATTAATTTATTCTGCTAATTAATGAAGGTCTTTCAGAACACAAGAGAAAAAAAAAGGGGGTTTTCTTTTTCCTCGTATGCGTCGTCGAAGATAGAAAGCTGCAAACAAAAAGGAAAAATACAACGTAAGGGGACGGTCAGTTTTTCCCTTCTCCTGTTCTTGTTGTCGTGCTGTTGTGTCCCATGTGTACACCGCTTAAGACTTGGGAGAGAGAGAGCTTATTACACAGATGAAACTATGGAAAATTAATTAAACCGGGAATAAGGTTTTGTCTGGTAATGATTGATTTAATTAAAGCATCCAATGCCCCACTTAAAATCTTTTTATTTTAATTTTTTTATTTACCAATCTTGTCCTAAATCTAATCTTAATCTATAAACAACAAGCATTAGCTTAATTAATTAAGCATTATTTTTAATTCTTTTTCTTAGAAACGGTAATTATTTTATCTGATTCTCACGGCGCGCAATGCGCCACTCGGATTGGCCATGGGTAGTGGGGGAAGGGGAGAGTTCTTATGTAGGATCATTCAGATCATATGTTATTTAATTTTGATATGGCTTGAATATTGACACTTGGCCATTGACCACGTGTGTGGACAGGATCCTTGACATACACCCTTTTGGTGTAGAGATTATGAAAAGCCATTTTCAAATTAAAAGTGCTTCAACAAATTAAGACCAATTTCTTGTTCAATAGAGAATTTCTTTAAATCTCCCCATTTTCAAACATCTTTTTTCTCAACAATTTGGTATCACCATAACTTTAGTATAAAGTAAAGGTTTCTAAGTATTTTTCTTTAATTTGAATAAATCAAGTGTTAAACATTATTAAATAGATTGACAATTTATTGTAATTTACTGAAATATAATGATATAATATTTAAAAAAATTTAAATAATTTTTTATCTTTTATTATATTAATCAAATTTTTATATTTTATTTTAAATTAAATAAATAATTAAAATTAATTATTATTAATTAAATATTATTTATTATTTTATATCATATTACATTTGTTTGACATACTAATATGTCATAATATATAATATCACGTAACATTTTCATTGTCTACGATGGTGTCACGTGAATATAAAATGATAAATAATATTTTAATTAATAATAATTTATAAATTGATAATAATAAAAAAACTTAAAATAAAAGTATATAATTTTAATTAAAAATAATAAAAGAATAATTTTTTTAAAATATATTAAAAAAATTTCAAGTATTATGTCAAATATAATTATAGATATATATGATATTATTATTGAAAAAATTAATAAAAATAGAAATAACGAATTATTTGTCTAGGTTTTGTCATTATGAACATAAATAATAATGCTTTGTTCATACTATAAGATATCAATGGCGAGACCTTGCATTATTTCTTTTTTTTTTTATGCTGGAATCTTAAGAATTAAAAGATTGCATTTATAAGGAGTACATCTATTTATATTGGCGTGGAAAAGGCTTGATTGCTTGATAAGTTAGGGGACCAAACAGGCTCATTGCCTGGTCAACTGATGTAAGATAGGTTAAAAGTGAGGAAAATTAGGCTTTTAAATTGAAGGGTGGCGTGGGGAAGTAGGCAAATAATTAACAGGCATGATTAGGGTTGCCGAGAGTGTTTCCCTTCTTTTGGCTATTTTCACCTTTTTTTTTAATTTTATTCATATGAGTCTGCTAAGGTGGGGACCGCAGACAAGTCATCGATGAAGCCCACTTTTGTGCATGATTGCATCAGACAGGAAGAGTTGATGTGGGGTACCACATGGTGCCACTTTCGCATTCGACCCTTCACTCTTTTGATAGGCATTGGCCTTGTTTGGTAAGTAGTGAAGTTTTCCCATGTTCTCCACTGCATGGGATTTCTTACCTTAGGAAGCAAATGCACGTGCTTATCCTCACTTTGTTGGTCTGAAATCTCACCTGGCACGTACTAAAAGGGAAACATCCATAGCCTTCTTCTTGGGGATAATGGTCGCTATTTAATCCGGAAAGAAAATAAATCAATAGAGCCACCCAAAAACGTAAATTAATTGAGGTTTCCTTCCATTTAATCATTAATTTTATCTGCTAAATTCTTAACCATTTATATTAGTATCGATACTACAGAATAACATTTAAAAAGAAGAGATGATTGGACAAATAAGTCTGTGGTTTTTTAGTAATAATAACAATAAGAAAACACAACTGGGGCTAGGCAGCTACTGACCAGTATTACTCCAGAAACTCAAAAAAAAAAAAAAAACACGTGAGATTTTGCGTCAAGGAGGAAGAATATCAGAATCTGGAAGCCCCTAAGTTGAAATTTTGACCGAGTAAGGCTTTGGGAGCCAACAAAAAACACAGAGATAAAAAATTGCCCAAAGTTCTGATTTGGACGGCGTAATCGATTGTACTTTCTTACTTGCTGACTTGGGCTCTCTCTATATCTAAACCCATTTGTGCAAGGAGAAAACGATGTGGTTGAATTTTTTGACGGCCATGGAAAGTCGTCCTGCTATTTATGAAACCCAGTCTTTTGTTTTTAATTAATTGAAAGTGCAAGTCGGATCTTGAATTTAAGTGAACCTTTGTTAGGTTTCAGGTGGAAAGACGAAGGAAGAAGGGTTGAATGATGGGTTGATGGAGTCCCAACCCCACTCATAGAAGTTCCATACCAGCAGACAAACATGAAAAAATATCCAGTGTAATCAAGAATCCAAGTGTGTTGAATCACTTGATAGGAAATCAACGCGTTTTTTGCAATCATTACCACCCCTCAGCTGTTAAAAAGGGCATCTAACGATTTTCGTCCAACTGCAAACTTAGGCCCACTCGGTTAGCATTCTTGGTCCAGTAATGCCGGGCTTCAATTCTCAGCACTAGCCCAGTGCCACGGGCACAAGTCTCGACTCCCCAACCGTAGTTTCACTTTTTTTAGTTTAGCTTGGCTAAAACAGTAAAATGATTTGGTACGCGAATTTTAGTCGGATATTTATTCCTATTAATGTGATTTTGGGTAATTATAAATATATAAAAAAATTTAAAATTATTGTAAATGTCATGATTTTGAATATTTACAAATTCATCTACACTCTTAATACCTTAATCAAACAGTTCAAATTATGATTTTGTTATGACTTAATAAAAGAATATGTGTGATTTCTCTTGATTGTTAAAATTATAAAACTTGTCAAAATAATGTAAGTGATTTCATGGTTGATATTTTACTTAATATTTATTTATTATATTTTGTTTGAATTTTAAAAGTAAGTTGTTGACATTGAGCTTATTTGTTAATTGATAAGTTTATTTACTTTTTTTATTACATGTTTTAATATTTGATTGAACTTAATCAAATTGAATTTTCAAATCAAAATCAGATATTCACTTATCAAACGGGTGTAGATTATTAACATATATCTTAATTGATTTAGATTAAATTATGAATAATTAAAATATATTTTAAATGGTTTCGGTCAAGTAAGGAGTCCAAACTAAAATTTTCAAACTTCAAACTCAATAATTTCAACTAACTAATGAGCCCGAACTCAAAATCCAAACTATTTCGATGAAAAATTTTAAAACAGACATACAATATAAATAATCACACATTAGATATTTAATAGTGTTGGAATCATTGTTTCACTTGATCCAATCTCTTGAGTAAAAGAAAGAACCTAACCTAAACCAAAAGGAAAGTTTCATATAGTTTTTAAATATTATAAAACATAAGTATGCAAAAAAAGATGAATTGCATATATTAATTTAATCTTGAACTAAATATCATTTTATATGACCATGACCGAAATCATTTAATAGAATAATTTAAAGAGTTGGTTAAATTAATTGTCTGTCTTATAGGGATAAGATTGTATGATCATGTCGAAAAGGGAGAGGATAGGATGATGTAGGATGATTTTATATGGATTTAAATTATGTAAAAAAAAATGAAATAAGCATATTAGTGTGAATCCGTCCTACACATCAAAATAATAACAGTTTCCTTATACTGCCTTGCTTTCATAAATAAAATAAAACAATTATGAAGGCAGCGTGACACCCGCCAACAAGGCAAGAGCCAATCGCCAACGTCGTGAACAGTCAACGCGAACTCAGCTTAAAAAATTGTATTACTTTCTACTCTGAAAGCGTGGCTGTTGAAACCAACACGTGAAGCCCATGTCGAAAAGAGCAGCCACCATTAGCAAGCCGACCACTTTCACTGACACCGTCGATCTCCCCAGTCAAAACCGCACATACCGAAAAGTATCACTCATCCGACGGTAAAATGTTCAGCCTTAAATGCGCCTCAGCACCATCGAATCATATCCCCTACCGTCCAATGTCCTAGGCTCCCAGCACATGTTCATATTTCCTCCGTCTACCTTTTCTATATACTTTGTAAGTTTGGGCTTTCCTTTCTAATTTGAGTATACACCATCAATAATTTCATCGTCAGATCAAGTTCGTAGACAAAGAAACAATGGCGGAGACTCAATCTCAAGGAGCCCCTACACTCTTCTCTCCTTACAAGATGGGCAAGCTCGATCTTTCTCACAGGTTCGTCTACTGTCCAACTTTGACTCGTTTTTGGATCAAATTCCGTGATCCCGGGGGATGTTAGATCCTTGTCTGTAGGGAGCTATCGTTTCAGACATATTTCGGCCACTATCTCCTAGGATTCTGTAAAAGCCGAGAGAAATACGGAAGGCTAATTTTGAGAATATCAAATCATTTTTCTAAAATTTAAGAGGAAATTTGAGGGGTTGTGGGTTGTGTCTGATGGCAGGGTGGTGCTGGCGCCCATGACGAGATGCAGGGCGTTGAATGGAATTCCGAGACCGGCGCTCGCTGAATACTATACGCAGAGGTCGACTCCTGGCGGTTTTCTCATCACCGAAGGGACGTTGGTCTCCAACACTGGAGCAGGGTAATTTCGTAACTCCATCTTGATAATGAAAGCTCATACGAGTCACTCGCGCTATTCAAGCAGTAGTGGCCTTAGGGCCCATGTCCCCAACTTAGTGCTTTTAAGGCCCCAACTAAGGCTTCTGTTTGGACCTGATCCACATAGTGGTTTAAACTAAAAGTTTAATCAAGGCATTTGTTAGTACAGTACTTCCGTTTTTTTTTGGTCTCAAGACTTTTTGTTTATTGTTATTGTTCAATTAGTAGTAATATTTGTTTCTATTACAGTAATAATGATTGTTTATAAATTCAGTTTTCTCAAATGAATTGGAATCGATTGTCTTAGTATTGTATTGTTTAGAGGCGCAATATTTTCTTAAATCATGGACAAATGTAATCATTTAGTATCTGAAGTAATGGCACCCTTGTTAGTCAATTTTTGTTTTTTCATATTAACGGGATAATGGTCCTAAAAAGTTGCCTGAAAATATCTTGGTTTGTACAATTTAAGGTACAAATTTAAACTCAGTTTTAATATAAGAATTTACCAATATAATTTCATATCAGAATTGATTTAGTTATCAATTTCTCCATATATGGCTTCTATCTCTTATATCATATTGAATCATCCAGATATATCTTACTACTGTCCTGAAGTCCCTATTATGATGCTTTTGTCACATTTATTTTATGGTTTTCACTTTTAGCTCTATATGTATGTTTAAGAGCATTTCTTTTAACTATACGATTACATGATGTTGCAATGTTGAAGCAGGTTTCCACATGTTCCTGGGATCTACAATGAAGAACAGGTGGAGGCATGGAAAAATATTGTGGATGCTGTTCATGCCAAAGGAAGCTTCATTTTCTGTCAACTGTGGCACGTTGGTCGTGCATCTCATTCAGGTAACTTCCCCAATCTCTTGGTACCCATTTTCAGTTCAATCAGCATAATTCCGTTCATTCATTTTACTACATAGTGGAATTATATTAACTGTTATTCACAATGCATTTTACCTTTTTTTAGGTGTTGAGAATTAATTGACAAGTTTTATTTGGTTGTTTGACTAATGAAATAGTGTACCAACCTGATGGAGCGGCACCTATATCATCAACGAGCAAGCCCATTTCTAAAAGGTGGAGAATTCTTATGCCAAATGGGAGCTATGGCATATACCCAAAACCTCGATCCCTGGAAATCCCTGAAATACAAGAGGTTGTAGAGCATTACCGCAGGGCAGCCTTGAATGCCATTCGTGCAGGTTAGATTAAATGTTAAATCTTCTCTTTTTTATTGGCATGTGTCCTGAAGCAGTTTGCATTTCAGTTTTCAGGTTTGATGGAGGCCTCTAAACAAAGTTATTGTTTTATTCTTAAATGGCAAGCTGATTTAAAAAAAGATATAGTTGCCTTTTATTTTTATAAAAAAAGATGGCATCTACTTTATTAAAATTTAACTGGAAGTGCATGGAACCATGATTACTTTCCATAGGTAGGGATTCTTATGCTATTTGGTAAAATGGGAATACATTGAGCAACAATGATTATGTCTCCTTTGTAGTGGCTAAACATACTCAGCATGCTCATGATGCTGCATTTCATTGTCACACTAGCTAAAACAGTTACTCTGATATATGAACTTGACTTCTGGCTATGGTCCCGCACTTGGCACAAAGACATGGTGTTCGGCCTTGCCATGTATTAGTTGGTGCTGATCAATATCTTGAAAAACCATGGTATAGAACTTGAAATTTTAACTTTGTTTCCTTCACATTGTAGCCAGGACTATTTTTCATTCGCCATAGAAGAATTTTCTTCTGAATGAAATTCTGAGCTATATTTAGGACTGGGATAGAATTGATGTTTTAATTAGCATATAAACTATCATCGTCCATCGGAGGTTAATATGAGCTATTTATTACCTTGTCCAGTTCACTTTCATATTTTGGAGACAAAATGTATAATTAATTATTTATCCTTATCACTAACATTCCTATATCATCACCTTAAAGCTTATTAAAATCATTGAATCTTGAAGGTTTTAACGGAATTGAGATTCATGGAGCACATGGCTATCTCATTGATCAATTCTTAAAGGATGGGATTAATGATCGTACAGATGAGTATGGTGGATCATTGGCAAACCGCTGCAAATTCTTAATGCAAATTGTTCAAGCAGTAGCTGTAGCGATTGGTGCTGATAGAGTTGCTGTCAGAATTTCACCTGCAATTGATCACCTTGATGCAACAGACTCCAATCCACTCAACCTAGGCTTGGCAGTGATTGAGAGGCTTAACCAGCTTCAGCTACGGCTGGGGTCAAAACTAGCTTACCTTCATGTGACTCAGCCTCGTTACCATGCTTATGGGCAAACAGAATCAGGCCAACATGGTAGTGAAGATGAGGAAGCACATTTAATGAGGACTTTGAAGAGGGGTTATCAGGGAACTTTCATGTGTAGTGGTGGATTTACTAGGGAGCTGGGAATGCAAGCTGTGGCTGAGGGTGATGCAGATCTGGTATCCTATGGCCGTCTGTTCATCTCAAACCCAGACCTAGTCTTGAGGTTGAAGGTTAATGCGCCACTAAGTAGGTACATTAGGAAGACATTTTATACTCTGGATCCTGTTGTTGGATACACAGACTATCCCTTCCTGAGTGCAGAGAAAGGCACCCAATTTCAGTCACGTCTTTGATGTGCAATCAGTATTGTAGTTTAATATCCAATATTCGGCATGAAAGTTGATTGAGTGAATATATTAGGTTAAGATTATGTCTGAAGATAAGAATGTTGTTATGAAACCTGTGCTTCTTTATACATAAATTAAATTTCTGATTTAGCTGCAGCTATATAGGCACATATTCCTTGTCTAACCCGTTACCTGTGGCAGATCCTTAGCTACCATATTTTAGCTTAGTTTGACCTTTGACATAGAGAAGCTCTAGATGAAGCTTAAAAAATGGGTGACAACTACCTGCTATGTTAACATGGAAGGAGCAAATGAGAAATAAACAGGTTTCTTGTTGCACTGTGAAGTTTATAAATTGCTCTATAGCAAAAAAGAAGTCCAAATGTGGCTCCATGTCCAACTAGTTTAAGATCCTCATTGAACAGGGCAAAAGAAGAAACTAAATATTACTACTCTTAAGTAAGCGACTGTGCCTCATTGTCAATTCTGAGGAACAAAACTGAATGCAGTAAATTGTGCATGGTCCAAACGTATGTTTTGATGGTCTGCTGTCGAGGCAAAGGATATACATGGATCATAAGGGGAAATCCCTCTTATGATAACAATATGAGAAGTCAGTATGTCAGCCACTAGGTTGCTAGTTTTGACCGCCAATGCAACAATGGTGGTCGGTTAACGAGCTCCCAAAGCGCCCAAATACACCACAGAGCATCTTTTTACTGGCTGAACTTCTAGCCCTGTAGATATTGCAGCAGTGGCTAAACGAACTGGCTATAGGAAAAACGTATTGGCGCTAATGAAGACAAAGGGAGAGGTGCAAAATAAGGAAATCTTCAATCACTAAGTCTGAGATTTTGTCATTTTTTTTGGTGCCCTTAGAAAGATCTCAAAAGCACTAGGACGTCAAGAGATGTGGCGTAGTGGGTAGACTATATGCATAACAGTGAATTTTGGTGGCTATTTGAGGGTTGGAGAGGTCATGGCATGCTGCCATCAGATTGAAAATCAGCTATGCAGGAGTTAGATAAATAGTTAATCGTCAATGTAGATATAATAGATTTTGAGATCCCCCAGAAATCTTTTTTGATTTATTTTGCACGTAAATGAAGTTTCAACTTGTGTAAATGTTTAAGTTTCCTCGCAGTTGAAATCCGTTCACTGGTTTTTAGTTAGCAATGGACAAGCCTAGGCTAGGAAGGCTACTGCGAACTCTAGTTTGGCTTCGTGCGGCTGTAATTAACTTAGATATTGGCTGGGAGGTACCCAAGTTCATTACTTACAGTGAAATTAATTTTACTTTCCTTGATGGAGTCTGGTCTTCATTGCTTTCTTGATCTTGTCCTTACTCGAACCTAACATGTTCGTACCATGCAAACAAACAAAAAGGCTCCAAGGAAGATCAGATGATATCCAAAGGAAAACGAATGATGATGATGATAAACGGTTACAGGAGTATCATATTTTCCAGCTAGAGAATGGATGGACTGCATGGCTATTGGCCGGGCTCTTATCCTTCAGTCATTGTCAACCTTATCTCCGCTGCCACTTTTAAGGAACGGGACAACTGGGGATTTTATTTTCAAATTCATGCACTAGGAACCGCTGGCTTTACTCTTGTAGATAGATGAGATATTTACCTCAGCTGGAAGATTCTTATTTCGTTCCTTAAATTCTTGTTGGCCTCAGCTTGAGGACAAGAACCATTTAACTCAGTTTAACGTTTACATCAACAGCAGAAAAGCTGAAGAAAGGAGAATTACTTGGGCTTCTTTATTTCAAGTGGATCAGATGCATCGCATATAACTTTTCGCAAGCAATTCTTCTGTTGGCACTTTGTGTAAGTATGTGTTTAAACCAATAAAGAAATGTTGGTGAGTTTCCTTTACGAATGGGAAATGTGGCATGCTGCACATTGTACTTGAAATTTACTGCAGCTGGATGGTGAATAAAATTTGTCAATTCCTAATCAATAGATCTTCAAGCGAGGGGCCTCAGATAGGGCATCAATAGATGGGATGCCTGAGAGCAGAGGAAGCAAGATAACCCTGCTTCACCTCAAGCTGCAAGGCTGAAAATGGTGCACATGCTGTCACTTGCACGTCCTGCCTGATCTGCTTGGGTCCATGAAAAATGCTTACCGACTAACCTTCAAGTAGATATTGGTTTTAATTGTTTATATCTACACATCTTGCATTATGAGGAAAAGTTGGAGAGAAACCTTTAACCTTTTGGATTGTCATCAAGATGCCTTGGAAGGCAGGGAGTTCGCTACGTCCACATATTTTTTTCCATCGATAGAAACACTTGCAAGTAATGAGGAGACTCGCAGAGACTCGTATTAGCTGTCAAAATGTCTTCTATTGCCCTAATTTCACTCCCTTCCAACGTGCCCGTGGAGGCAATCAGGACCACCCTTCGATGTTTCTTCCTCCTCTTCCAACCTCCACCCTGAAACAAAGATCTTGGTTTTCCATCCTAAGCCTTAATAACAGACTAATGATCATGTGTATTTAATATAGTGAAGACTTGAAATTGCTGTTTGCAAATACGTCATTGTGTAGAAGATAGTGGAGCATATCGACTTCAGAATTGGATGAGTACGGATGCTGCAATTTCGTTACCATCAATCTCGCAGGTAGCATCGTTTCAATATTGCTGGCAGCAACTGTTTGATGATTACGCCCACTGATTTTCATTCGAGGAAGAGAAGTCCTGCATTTAATTGTTACTTTAATGATACGCAAGCAGTCAACTGAAGTTTAGTCAATGCAAATTCCAGCTTCATTCAATGCTAGCAGATAATCCATGGTTGCATACCAAAGTTGATACTGGATTGTAAGTCACGCACACTATATCACAACGATATCGATAGTCATGCCTGAAATCTGCTGGTTGAGTGTAGCAGTTAAATTGATACAGTGGAAAAACTTCAGCCGGAACCTGGAGCTTGAAGTTACAAAATGTGAGAAATTTCAAATTACAGCTCAAAACTCAGTATAGAAATGAAATTTTACACGCAATAACTGTACGCAAATTAAAGATATTTTTCTCTTGCTCTGCTTTTCCAAACCAAAAAAGTATTCTTGTTGTTATCTCAGAAACAATTTACCACTAATTCACATGCATGTGCGCAAGATCTGTCGTTTCTCACACATGGACAAGGTCCCATGATCAGTTCATCACGTGAACGTATGCATGGGCTATCTCCAATAATCAATTGTAGTGGCTCAAAGTATCCACAGTTTCCCATTCTATATAAAGGGTAACACACTGCCTAAAACGCTAAAACACGCCTAAAGAAAAGTGGCAAAGATGCTTCTCGCTATCTTGTTCATTTTTTCTTTCCTTTTCTCCTCCTCCAATGCATTAGTGGGAGACTTCTGCGTTGCAGACTTAAAAGGTCTTCAAAGCCCTGCAGGCTACTCATGCAAGACAGCAGTCACGGTAGATGATTTTGTTTTCTCAGGCCTCGCTGCTGCAGGCAACACCTCAAACCTCATAAAAGCTGCTGTAACGCCAGCATTTGTTGCTCAATTCCCTGGTGTTAATGGACTTGGCCTTTCCATGGCTCGTTTGGATTTGGCTGTTGATGGAGTGGTGCCTATGCATACACACCCTGCGGGTTCAGAAATCCTCCTTGTCGTTCAAGGGTCAATTTGTGCTGGATTCATATCCTCGGCCAATGTAGTTTACTTCAAATCTCTCAAAAGGGGTGATATTATGGTTTTCCCACAAGGTTTACTGCATTTTCAATTCAATGCAGGTAAAAGTCCGGCGGTGGCATTTGTATCTTTCAGTAGTCCAAGCCCTGGTCTCCAGATCCTGGACTTTGCCTTGTTTGCAAATGATTTGCCCTCTGACATTATAGTAAAGACAACTTTCCTCGACAAAGCTCAGGTTAAGAAGCTCAAGGCCGTTCTTGGAGGAACTGCTTAAGCTATCTAAATGTGCGGACAGTCTTTTTCTCTTCCTCATTTTTGTGCTTCCATGGTTTCTTGTCATGTTAAGAAGTCCGGAAGCACAATTGTCTTCCAGTCAACGGTAGTTAATTTCTTTTACTAGCAAAAACAGTGTAGTTGTGCTTCTTTGTATACCTTCTCCAAGTTCAAGTGCCTTTTGGTAGCGTGCATTTCAGCACTCAAATCTCTAATAAAAAAACCATTCCCTGAAGGCAAATTTCTTGCCCCTCTCAGTCTGCAATTAAAAATTAATGGATATAATTATATGTTGTTTCTTAATTAATCCCCAAAAGTGATAGTGTCTAGTGTTCTATATGATAGATTAATATTCACAGAAAGAGAGCACCCTTTTGGGAGTGCAGTTGTCTGGCTGGAATGGAATATTGCACTGAGAGAGCTTCCAAACATCACCTCATTAGGAAATTTTTGGGATTACCATGCCCCTGGGCCTGAGAAACAATATGTTGGTTGAAAGCTGGCCACAATTAAATATTAGTATAACCTTATCAACTACTTTATGTGGTCCAAATCTTTTCAAATTCTACTGCACCCAGCATGTAGAATCAGAATTTCATTACAGTTAGATGGTTCAACAGAACAGGTGGAGCCTCTAACACGATGTGCTTGCCAAGTTGCCCCTTAAGATACTCAACTCAAACTGTAAATAGTCAGTGAAACAAAATGCTGCAGGCCCTGATTGGACAAGAACTTCTGTCATATGTTTTCCAAATTTGTAATTTGTTTATAGACGTTTGAAAACTAAACCTTAATGGAAAATGTCCTTCGACACGCAATGGACTGGACAAGCAAGAAAGGGGCATTGAAATTACTGCTGACTAAAATCCTGATGTACAATATCCTAGGTGTGAAATTAAACCTTAAAACAGTATAATCATCTAAGGCTACAGCATTGGACCTGATTTTAAATCAGTTTCCATAAGTTATACCAGTAAGTAAATTGGCTTGAAATTTACAAGCTATGGGGTAAACCCTAAATTTCATTTTGACCAAGAAACTGCCATTGAGCCTTTGATTCTAGAGGACACTCTTTGCTCCAACCAGAGAGCTTATCTGCAAGTGTGTAACTTGGGCCTTTTCCGATGTGCCCAGAGCAGAAGTACTTCTTATTGGGCTTTCTCTCTCAAGAGTTATGTCCACAAATCCAAGTTGCTTCATAGGTTCAATTTTGTTATGTATATCACAATACTCCTATAGGATGAGAGTAACCAAGAAAACACAGTAACAGCATGGAGTACTCATCGTGATGATAATTTTCATTGGATATGCAAAGTCTAGATACTCATGCTAGCAGATTGTTTGGATATGCAATGTCATCCCAAGGTAAAGTTTTCGAAAAAACAAATACTCACATTGAATAAAGAGGCAATATTGAAAAGTTTACAAATTTGAATCTTATACTTTCAAAAGAGAGAGTATAATAATCTCATAACAAGTTGTATAAAAACAAATTCGATCCACCCAAATATTTTTAAAAGGAAAATGAATAAGATAGTCGACAACAACGAGAATGTCATCTAATTAAATGAGAGAAAATATCACACTAAATTTTTTTAAAAATTAAACTATTTCAATCTTATACTAAATAAATAATTTTTTTTAAAATATTTATAAATATAAATATTATACATTTTATCAAATTAATTTTTTAAAAAAGATAATAACTTGTGACACTCAAAACTTATAAAAATGACTTTAAATGCTTTTTAATGTCCCTTTACAGTCTACAAAATTCAAGAACATGAGAGCGGACTTAGCTGTATGGCACTCTTGGTTCTTGCAGATAACTTGCAGAGTCAGAAGAATAAAGCTATCTAGGAGCACAAATCCAATAAATACGATTTGTCCCATCAAGCATTTCGTAAACTATTTGAAGGCATCCCTCCAACCCTAACATACCTCATTCTCTAATTAAACTTCGCATGCCCATATATAAATCCAATTGCTAATTCCTGCTACAAAGCCACTTCAAATCCATCATCACCAAATTGCACAAAAGCACCAGCCTGAATCAAAATCAAAGCAACTCAACAATTCCCAAACACAACTGACAGAAAGACAAAGAACCAAGTTACTAAGAGATATTAGGAGTTCCAAGGGCGGGAAAATGGAGGGGAATTTAGATTTCTCGTTATGTCTTCATTGTAGCCGTTAAGGCAATGTCCTATACTAAGAACTTGGTACAAGATTGAAGAACTAGCAATTTGGCGGAAGGGATGGCCGACGGTACTGCTAGGTTAAGTACTTGAATTAAGTAATCATGGAAAGAAGAATAAAACGTTTGACCCCCCTTAATTTATTATCATTCATCCTTGGACCATAAGGAGGTTGGAACTTTCTAGGTCAGAAAAGGCGAATTGTTTTTGGCAAATGGCAAAACATAAATGGAAGCTTAACAACACATCGATGGTCCAATCCAAGCCAACAATTAATTGGGTACACCCTTTACATTGTTACATCAGAAATGTTTGCTTAATCACCTCAACAAACAAATCCAAAATCCAGCATACCCTTACAGCTAAGACGACCCCACTCCCCTCTTCGTTCTCATTTATCTCCTCAAATTTTCCTAATTTCCTCATTATCAAGTTTATACATAATATATTCCCTTTACCCTTATCCTAATCATTAGAAACCCATCCTCCCCTTCATAAAATTAGAATAA